TAATCATGATCCATAATGATAACAGAGGAATTTTCATAGAAAGCTAAAATGTGGTGTGAGTACTTAGCTGATTTTAATGTCTGTCTAAGGGCCTGTTCCAGTGTCTCCAGTAGAAATTCATGACTGGAGGCTCAGTAAGGGCCTATTTTAGCACCTCCAGCAGAAATTCTTGACTGGAGGCTCTACTAGAAGTATTAATGGAGGCACAGGAATGCAATCTGGAGGACGCCGGTGAAAACAGGGCGCCGGAGGGCATATTAGTCACGTGACATTTGGAGTTTCTCCCCTTATGTTAGCCTTCTAAATACCAAACATCACATGTAAATTTCACCAACCTTGATCAAATCGCCCCAGGCGCCCTGTTTTCACCGTCGTCCAATCTGGATACTTCTGGAGGTTGGTGTCAGGGATACCAAAAGAATGATAATGGTTCACACTTGGAAAACAAAATGTGTTATTAATTTTAGTTAGAAAATTTAAAAAAATTATTATAATGTATTGTAATTTACTTTACGTTCGAATTATAAAATTAACCGTCAAAGGTACTTTGTTTACATTCTTAATTATCACATGTGCGCCATAATTGTAGACCAAGGCCTCCAGTGAACCTCCAGCGAAATGCAGACTTTTGCAACTTACTGGAGGCTACCTACTGGAGGCTTCTGGATCTTTGGCAAGAGCTTTCTGGAGCTTACTGGAGGTGCTGGAATGCTCACTGGAGGATTCTAGAGCTTTCTGGAGGTTTCTGGAGGTGCTGGAACAGGCCCTAAGTTTCACTGGAGACATAGGAATGGAATCTGGAGATTCCTGGAGATTGGTGTCATGGATACCAAAAGAATGATGATGGCTCACCCTTGAAAAAAACAAATTTGTTTTTAGCTTAATTAAGAAAGATTTAAGAATTATAATACTGTAATTTTCTGTACAATTGGATTGTAAACTTACCTGTCTTAGTCCTTTGTTTACACTCATGCTTGTCACATGTGCACCATAATTGTAGACCAGAGCCTCCAGTGAATCTCCAGTCAAATGTGGACCTCACAACTGACTGGAGGCTACTGGAGGTTTCAGGAGCCTTGGCGAGAGCTTTCTGGAGCTTGCTGGAGATGCTGGAATGCTGACTGGAGAATTCTAGAGACTTTTGGAGCTTACTGGAGGTGCTGGAATGCTGACTGGAGAATTCTAGAGGTTTTTGGAGGTTTCTGGAGGTGCTGGAACAGGTCTTATTTATCTTGCATCACTTTCACTTAATTGCTGTTGAACAAAAATACTTCTTTGCCTTGCAATTTTGCCCTCATCTCAATCTTGCTTCTTGTTGACTGCAAGGTACAGGCTTTTAGATAGAAATAAACTTTAGACTTGTTTGTAAATATTAACAATATGTCAGCTTTTTATGTGCTGACATTTTACCCATGAGCCCCATTCTAAAAATGTAATGCTCCATCCACCCCGCATGGTAACAACTAACATGCATCCACCATGGTGCAGCTGAATGCTTATATTTGCAAAGATGTATTCAAGCTATAAAATTGATCTTTTTGAGTGTGAATTTTGAGTGGATGAAAAAGTGCAAAACCATTTTGTTCTTAATGTTTTTTTTTTCACAGGTTTTGATCCTCACCCAGCTTCTGCTTAATCCCATTAACAACATTTGATGAAATTGAATCCTCAGGTCAGGGGATTCTGTCAAACTGCATTATGGCTGTTGACTGTTTGTTTTTATGAGTACCTAATTATAATTTTATCTTGATTTTAGAAGACTACAGCCTAGACCCTTTTGTGCTCTTCCATTTTGATGATGCACTATTGTGTTGTATTGAGGTGCTACAAAATTAATGGTTCTCATGCATCAACTTGTGAGTTAAATGCCTGGCTATGAACTTCCTCTGGAAAACCACAGTGTATATGAATATGGAAAACCACCTTTGTATAGGGGAAATACATATAGAGATGTCAGAAAACAGGCCTTTCCAAAAATCATTTTTTATTATTATAAAATATAGTATTAATTACTACATACCATTAGATAAATAATATGCGAAATGATCGGTTTTAGGTGCATCTATCACTTATCATTTTTTTCCTGGCTGGGATCGTGAATCTGGGTCTGCTTTGGCACTTCTGATCTGAAAACCCTTGGCCAGGTAGGTATGTAAAAATAGCCCCAGATTTCTTAAATATACCAATATCCATTGCTCCGGAGCCACTGTCATGGCTTTTGTGCAAAGTAGCTTGGTTATGCAGGGGTTTTCTTCCCCTGCTTTTCTGTTCTCTTATGAATGGTGACACCAGCTTCATACTGAGGATGTGTCCTTTGTTGGTCTCAGTGAGTGAGTTTCAATGGAGACGCCGTTGTATGCCTGTATCAAGGCGAATTGTCGCTGGTCAGTAAGCCGGGCGTGGTACCGGTGTGTGGCTGGACGCCTATCGCGCGGCCGTATCGACCTGGCCGTATGACGGCAGCCGGCCCGTATGCCGGCGTCGGTATGATGATGAGCATTGGACGTTACGGATGACAGCGGCACGATCGATGTTTCTCGGAGCCTGTGAGAATCGGCGTCCATCCCGTCCACAACGCATTGCATCGGCGTCGGCATCCGTACCCATCGGACAGCGTCGGCGTCCGTCCTCAGTGGGAAGTCGTGCTCATGAAGCAGTGCTGGAGTACATCCCCTACAGCATCCCGTCCCGTCCGTAACAGATAGCATCACTATCCGGTCCCCAACAGCAAACAGCGCCGGCGTCCCATCCCGTAATGTGACGGTGCCGGCGTCTCGTACCCAGCAGTCACCGTATTGCCATCGGTTGAGTGACCAAATGTCCGGATCAGTCAAATTAGTAATTCTGATTGGTAAATATTATCAAAATTGTGCCTAGCATCCGTGTATTGTTACATTTGTTACACATTAATGAAGTGTTTGTCGGAGCTAGTTACTCATTAGTTCAGTGACCTTTGATACCACTGCCGTTGCTCCCCACCAAACATGTTTAGTGTTTAGGGTAGGGTGGGGTAATTTGAACATGTGGGGCAATTTGAACATGTGGGGCAATTTGAACATAGTATGAATAACACAAAATTATGGAAAATCCATAAGTGGCACGACAATAAGACCAATTAGGGAAATTATCGTAACTAAACGGGCTATCATATGAACGGGGTTTAAAGTTTCAGGGAATTAAGATGTGGACGCACAATGTAAAAAGTCAATTTCGCAAGTAAAAACGCCCAACAACACGTCATTGCAACTTCATTGCAGCGCAAAACATTACATTGCTAGCACTTAACACGCAACGGCTTTTGTTGTACAATGAACTATAAAGTGCCTTCAACCCAAGAAATTGGCTTTTGAAACCTGTGTTAAAATATGACAAAATAACTTTTAGCGTGGGGTAATTTGAACATAGTGTGAGGATTTTAATAAAGGCAGGTATAACTCCGAAAAAAACAACGTTCCTAGCTTTTTTTGCCAATATTATCGACACAAAGCAGTAGCAGCTATGTGATGCCAGTTTTAGAAAATTTGTGCCTAATTTCCGTCCAATGTCCGGGATTTTCGTTGAATTTCCGTCCATTTTTTTTTTTTTTAATCAGCCATGTGTCCAAATATGTCCGAAAATTACGCATTGATCAGCATCCAAAGCTGTCATTATTATTTATATTGTAGTTTTACCAGCTGAAAAGTGTTCAATATATTGAGAGCTTAACTAAGCTGTCCATTCGCCAATCAATGCCTGCACGATTACTTCATAAAAATGCTGAAGTGTAGTAAGCCATCGTCCAATGTTGTCCAGTCTGCTACCTTTGTCCAACCAATTCCGAATTGGACATTGGACAAAATCAGAACTCCAAATGTCCAGGTTCCGATTGGCGCCACTATAACAGATGAAGTAAGGTTGGGCGAGTTTTTATTGAACGAAAATAATAGACGTTCTGTTAACTGAAGAGAGGCGACTTCTGTCAACTGACCGGTGTGCAGCATGCATATATTGATACTCTTCAAGTGTTATGCTTGTTGTTTTGTTGATTTTTCAAATGAAGGTATGTTTAGGATTGCTCTATCAATTTGTTTACGCATCAAACAAAATCGGTGCTGGCGGGATTATCGTTTTTATGGCACGTAAAGGCAGTATGTTCAAATTACCCCACGGTGGGGCAATTTGAACACACCGTGACTTGGTGGAGAAGTGAGGCTATGCTATCCAAGGTACGCTCGGCTCGTCCAAAAATGAGGTTTGCATGGTGAAAGGAAGTGACATTTGCGCAACTGAAACAGTTTTTCTTCATCCAGGGTTGAGCTGGAATTTGGTACGACGGAGAAGACGTAAAAATATGTTCAAATTACCCCACCCTACCCTATCAACCTATATAGAAAAAGTAAGGTATACTGTATACATTGGTTGTCAACTCTGGTAGGCTGACTTTGTTCAGACTTCAGGGCGGCACCACCAGCGACTTCTGTTGTGTTGTGATCTGACGTCATACAATGCATCTGGCAGTTGTCTAGCCCTTGGGTGTCCTTGACCTTTTTCATAAGTACGCGGCCCACAACTCTTGTTATTGCAGTTCCCATGTTATGGTGTATTAAGTGCAAGTGTCCATTACCACATGTCATGGACCTTTGCTCATGTCTGATTGTTACTAAATGTACAGTTTTAGCCCCGATTATCATGACAGCTGAGATTCAATAGCGCCAGCCGCTAAACGCTTCGGGATGATGAACTCAACCAGTAGTTATCGTCATTCGTCACACTAAACGTGACTCAGCTGCATTTTCAGTTTTATTCAGGTGAGCTGCCGTGACTCACTTGACACCAACCCCTTCGCATATCAAAATCTGCCTAACTCAATCCTGCGTCTATAATGACTGCCCTGTCCAGGACTGGCTGCGGTCTGACCTGTGCCGGCCGGCTCTCGCCGTGTTGTGGTGCCGCTGGCCGGCCGTGTGGTGACGTCATTCTGTGACGGCGGCAGCGACGTCAGGTGCCGTGCCGGCGGCCCCGCGGCGCCAGTGTCCGTCGTGCCGCCGTCCGGTCGGCCGCCGCCGCGCCGAGCCACAGTGACCAGCTGTGCACAGAGCTGAGCGAGGAACGCAGAGGGCCGCAGAGCCGACAGGGAGGTAGGCGTGCAGATACGGTGACGAGTGTGCAGAGCGGATCGCGAGAGGCTGCGGTGGGCTGAGGTGGCTGTGCGAACCTGGGAGACTGCTGGAGAGTTGTGGGTGAGCGGTTGAATCCGGAGTGAGTACGAACTGCGTCTCGGAGACACGACTGACCTAGGATCGACGATTGCAGCAGCGGAGGATCCCAGCGGTGAGTGGTGACCGACGCTCTCACGGCGAGTGGTGAGCGCAGCCACCTGTTGAATGTCTGCAGCAAGCATCGGCCTGCCATCAGACGCATGGGACATGCGAGGGTTGTGCAGTCCAAAACGGGATATCGTGGTCTGTTTGCCCAAGATGCAAAGTGCTGTTTGAAATATTTAAGTTTTGGGCTTTCAAAAATATTGATTGTGACCTTTTGAAGCGTATCGTTTTCTGTGTGGTTCGGATTTCGGCTGCAGGTGGCGCCAGCTTTGGCCGTGGTCTGGCGATCGCCGAGTTTCGCCGACTTTCCGCGTGTTGTCGACAAGTCGCGGACAGTTTTGTGTTGTTTGTTCGGCTCGCTGGTGGCAGCCGGATGCGCGCAGGCTGCAGTTGTGGTGACCCGGACAGATATCCCGCCCTGCGCTCTGCTGGCTGCAGCTGCTGTCGGTAGCCAGGCCTGTCAAACCGCCCACCAAGGCGTGCCGCAAGGTGCGGTGGTGGCGCCTCTGTTCTTTGTGGAACTTATAGAAAACCTGTCAGAAATACTCATGGTGAATAATGACATGCGCTAATGGTCAGAGAAGGCTGGCTGACGCACCCGGGTACCCGCTGAGTCCGCGGTACGAGGTGCGCACGCGCCGATGACGTCATACCGGTGACGTCACGCGGCGGCTGGGCTGGCCTATTTTGGCCGCTGGCTGGCATCGGACGCCCGCCACTGCTGCTCTCCACGCCCTCCGCCGAGAGAGGCGAGAGATAAACGGAGGTGGGCGGCGCTGGCCCCGCTGGCGTCCAGTACCTGAACGGCAGATGACGCCCAGTACCACCGGGTGACGCAGACGCCGCCAGTGACCGGGACGGGGACTGATCTCCCCAGCTGCCGTAGTCTGAGCCGCGACACGATGTCGCCGCCTGCTCCTGACGCTCTAACTGGAACAGTCCCTGACCGGCTGGCACTGCTGTTGCCGCAGCTGGTTTGATACAATGGTTGTTGCGCTGCGTGTTCTCTGTCGCTGCACTCGGTTGTAGCCTGTAGGCGTTGCTATTTTCGTTCGAAGGGCACGACATTCAGCGTCGGGATTGAGCGCTGACTCATGGCGTCGGGGAGTGGCCGGCCGACGGCGGAATTTGTGCGTCACCTGGGCACCACTGGAGCAGGCGGAGAGCCGTGGTCGCGGCGGGCGGCAGACAAAGCGGCGCTGCCGCCCCGCCCCCGCCCCCGCCCCCGCCCGGCAGAGGCTGCACCAGTTCCGCGGGCGGCCGGCACCGTTTCCAGGCGCGTAGGAATGTGCACATCTGGGCGTCAGCGGCGGTGGGGGCGGCTCGGATGTCGGGACGGCATGGGATTCGGTCCCACGCACCCGCTGGACTGCCTGACGGCCGACCGGCCAGGGTGACTGGTCGGCCGGGCTGCTGAACGCCCACTGAGCTAGCTCGCCTCACCCGTCAGTTACTTGAGACACATGAGCAAGGAAATGCATATCAGGAACGGATTTTCCTATTCGCTCAGCAATGTAATGTGTTTATAATACGCACTTACTCTGCTCACGTATTCCCAGTCAGTGATTCCCCTCAGCTGCGTCCGCGAGCATATCAGGCCGATCGGGCGTGCCGCTCCATCGTGGCGACGTGTTCCGGCTCTTGACCGTGCTTTGGCGGCGTGCTCCACTATCGGGCCTTTCTGCGGCGGCGTGCTCCGGTGCACGGCGTGCTCACGGACACGCCCCCGTGCACGCTCGGCGGTGGCGGTGCGGGCAGGTGCGGGGGGCGGTCGAGTACTGGCGGTATTGTGCCGGCGAGCTGTGGACGGAAGTTCAGCGTCTGACTGGTGGCGACGTGGCGGGATAGTGGGAGAACGGCAGCCTCTGCAGGGACTAGAACTAGAAGCCTCTCGCTGGCTGACTGGATGCGCGGCTAGCTGGTTGAGTGGGTGCTGGGTGGTTGGCTGCGTTAAACCGCCTACCGCCTGTTTTGCTAGGCGCCGCTCCAGTCGCCTCCTGCCACTCTCGGCTGGACGTCTGTCTGTCTTCAGAGGCCAACTGCCAGCTCGTCAGTCAGTCGTCTGCCCCATCGCCAGGTGCCACTCTGCGGCGCCCACTTGGTGATCGCGAACAAGTGGCAGAGTAACACCCTTCGAAGGCTATTCATAGCTTCCGTCTGGTACATGTCGTCCTTTCAATAAACACAGTGTGATGTCATTGACTTGGCTGAAACTAAAACAAACCACCAAACAAACTGACACTTCTTGTTGTCGCAGCAACGATTGAGCAGTGTCGCTGTCCAAGACATAATAGTTTCTTGCTCTAATTGGGCGCCGCTCTTGCTCTACTCGGACTGTCTAGCGTCGCTCGGGCTCTATTCTAGCGCCGCTCGGATTCTACTCGGGCTACACTCAAACTCTGCCTGGCTGCGCCGACCGTGCGGCTGCAGACTGGCGTATCCAGTGGCCGGGCGAGAACACCGAGCGCCTGTCCGTCTCGCGACGTTTGTTGTTTCACGCCGCTCCGGTGCACACTGACAGTGGCTGGGCGAGGTCACACAGGGCCTCTGTGTTCCACCAGGCCGGCGTTCAAACGCGCCCAGCGCAACCGTTACTGGCTGGCGTCCCTGGCAGAAAGGGCGACTTAATCACTATGTGGTCGGTCATTGGTGCAGCGTGCTCGTCTGCCGCCGCGGTAAGACGTTTAGGGCGGTGTTTTGAGGCTGGTGCAGCTGGGTGCCGCCGCTGCAGCGGCCGCGGACTGGTTTCATTGCCGCGGGGCGCGCTGCGCTCGGCACGGTCGCATCTGCCGCCCCCGCCCCGGTGCACGGCCGGCCGCCGCCGCCGCCGCCGCCGCGCCTGTTTAGGTTGGCCGCGGCTCTGTGTTTATGGGCGCAGCCGAGGCGGGACGAGCCGGCCGGCCAGTCTCACCTGTCCGGGGTGGCTCCGGCTTCGCCGTCGCGGCGCAGGTCGAATAGAAGCGCCCCTGTCCGTCGGGCACTCCGCCGCCGGGCACGGGCTGGTGGGGGAGGGGGAGGGGAGATGGGTTGCTCCGCCAGGGTGTTGGGTGAGCGGTGAACACAAAGCTAGGGCAAACCGTCTGGGTATCTGCTTAGCGGGAAACTGGAAATAGAAACTGGTTTGGCGATATCGGTAGATTGTTTTTGCATTAAGGATAGGTATGATAGTTTGGTTTTGTCGCTGTCTTTTCTTTGTGCAGTTGACACATCTCGTGATTTGTGACCCATCGTCTTCCCGCGCTGCCCTGCACCCTCTCCCCGTCCAGTTGCTAGTCTCAGCCATCCCCGGCGGGTTGTGCCGCGGCGGCGCGTCCCTCGTCGGTCCCGGGCCGCTCCAGGCCGGCTGCGGACGTCCTGTCGATGTCGGTGCCGCTGTCGGTGGCAGCGGCGACTATTTTTACCCCGCCGGGGACCGCGCCGGCTGGCGTCTCGCCCCGTCTCGTCCCGTCTGGCGAACGGGGGAGCCCGGGGAGCGGCTCTGGCCCCGGCTGGGAGTCGGCCCGTCCCTCGACCCACCGTCGGGACTCGGGGCACGGCCGGGTCGAGCTCTGAGTCACACGGGACGGCCGTGCCAGCGGGTCCGTACCGCCGGCGGCGGCCGTGCCCAGGTTCCCTGCGTGATGTCAGCGAGAGGCTGCTGCCAACTGCCTACAGACATCCTGGCAACGACCTTTCCCAGTTTTCTGCAGTGGGCTCAGCAGCCGGCGGGGCAACATGCTGTTGATAGGGCAGAACTTACAGGATGTCACTGTCCGGCCCTGGACGCTATCGGGCCGCTCTGCTGGCCTGGAGACGGGACGGTCCCACTCGGCCCGGAGACGTTCCCGCTCGGCTCAATTGAAGGTCTAGATTGGCGGAGCCGCGGTTCACAGCTTCCCATGCGGGCCGATCGGCGTGATCCGGTTCTCTGGCTGCTATCACAAATATCGGTGGTCGGTCACGAGCTGGCGCGGCCGGCCAGGTTTCACCGGAACCCTGACGTAGGGCTTGCCGCCCTGCCAGATTTTCGTCGGCGCCACCGCCTTCGGCCGTCCGCCGCGCCGCTGTCGGCGCTGATGACCTGTGTCTTGTCGCCAGAGAGGGCCGTTGGCTCGTTAGCAGCGGTGTGTGAGCTGGCAGAACCCGCTGTAAAGCCCAGCGGGCTCCTCGACCCTCGGCAGCGACGGCGCGACAGGCGGCGCCTTTTTGTTGCTGGTGACCTGGTTCGATCCGCTATCGGCCGCCCGCCCCCACTCGCGTCTTTGCGTCTCTCTCTCTCTCTCTCTCTCTCTCTCTCTCTCTCTCTCTCTCTCTCTCTCTCTCTCTCTCTCTCTCTCTCTCTCTCTCTCTCTCTCTCTCTCTCTCCCCCTGCCTCTCTCTGCCCCTCTGTCAGCGTCGTAGCTTTGTCGGCACCGGGGCGAGGCGAGAGGTCGGGTCGCGGGGTTCTTCACGCTCGTGCTGACCTTGGCCCCAGCAGTGGAGCTCCCCGGGTCGGCCGCCAGTGCTGACCTCGGAGCTGCTGGGAACGAACGCTCAGCTGTGGGCTCTCCCCGACAGTTGACCCGTTTGGAGCGGTGTAGTGCCCAGAATATCGTGCTGCTGGCTAGGAGATGAAATCTGGATTTTTCGTATAGCGGACTTGAGCCAGACCGAAATCCGGATATTTTGTATAGTGGATATCTAAGCCAGACCACGCATTTTTACTACTTATAAGCCAGTGTGCATTGCCCATTGTACAGAAACATGCAACACGATTCAGAACCGAATGTACTGCCATCATGTGATATGATGCTGTGCACCTGTCCGCCAATGTTAACTGTTTTCCTTTCCAGTTTTTTTTTTTATTGCGACATCAGAACCCAGTTTACGCCACCCTGCTCGTCTTGTGTGAGCATACGGCGCGCCTCCCACACGTGGCTCGGAGAATGGCCCACATCTGTGGGACGGGACGGGTTTCGGATGTCTCTGTCTCTCGCTGGCTCCCCTACCCTCCCGTCTCCTTCACCCTGACCGAACCAGCATCTGGCGCTGTTCGGTACGGCGGTGGGAGACAGCACGCTGTCCAACGCGCACTATACGGCCTCGTCGCTGGGTGCTGGGAAGGGGGAGATGTGTGACAGGTGCTCCAAGGGCAGGCGGCGGCTGCTGGCGATTTGTGTGCGCTCCGCAGTGGTTTGGGGGATATTGTTTGTGAACTGGTGAACTTGCTGTATTTAATCTCCCGAGGGATCTCTAGCAGAACTGAGACCGGCAGTGAGTCAGCAGTCAGCGGGTCGTGACACTGCGCCGTCTGGGTCGTTCCTCGGACGATTGGCACAACTTGTCCCAATGGCCGACGCTGATGTCAGGCGCGATTAGAGTCGCTCCATGTGGAGCGCTGTCACGCCACCGGGCACAAAGCTACACCCGAGCCGGCCTGGAACGCGCTGTCGGAGCGCCTCTGCGGCCAGTGCCGGATCGGGGGTGACAGGACATCGGGCTCGGTGGCACGTGTCGCAGGCCATCAGCGTTGACCGGGGGTCGGGGACGGACAGCCCGGTCACGTGACCTCTGTCCGATCTGAGGCAGTCGAGCCGAACCAGCAGCCGCTGAAGAGGCAACACCGGGGCTGTGATGGTATGCCTAGATAATCGTGGTTGTCCGATTTGGATTATATGATCTGCCATCGTCATTTCTAACGCCATCAACAGGAAAAAGTTCTTTCTTTTTTTGTTCGGGCCTGATGGGATCTAATATTTACGGGTGTCTTCCGCCTCTCAGTACCATTTACTACGACTCGTTATTACACTCATCAGCTGTGGAAATATCAAATAATGGCTTACTTCGCGACAAACTTCCTCGCACCTGTGGACGACAGGATGGGAGAGAAGTCGGGGGTTCTCTCTCCCTCTCTCTCTCTCTCTCTCTCTCTCTCTCTCTCTCTCTCTCTCTTTTACTCTCTCTCTCTTTTACTCTCTCTCTCTCTCTTACCCTCTCTCTTTCTCTCTCTCTCTCTCTCTCTCTCTCTCTCTCTCTCTCTCTCTCTCTCTCTCTCTCTCTCTCTCTCTCTCTCTCTCTCTCTCTCTCTCTCTCTCTCTCTCATAGTTTGGAGATTTCTTATCCTTGTTAATGTTCATCGTTTTCCTTCAGCTCTTCTATCTACATCGCTTTCTCCCCATCTTTGTCTCTGATATTCATTATAGAGCCGTCACCTGACTCTGACCGACTCCATAGAGCCGTCTCTGGCCTCCGGCTGACTCTCCCTGTATATTGGAGTCGTGCTCCTCCCCTCAGTTCAGGCCAGGAGCGGCAGATGCCGGCCGGCCGGCCGGCCTTGGGCTGCTGACCTGGCCGGCCGTGCTCGGGGCTCGGCGGCAGGGTGTCGATAACCATATATGGCGCCGGCCGCCGCGCCGCTCTCCGCCCGCCGCGCTGCTGGACGAGGACCTGTGACGTCGGCCGCGCTGACCTCATAGTACGGCGACCGGCCGCGCTGATGGTCCGGACGGCCGCAGAGGCTCGGTCATTAGACGGGCGGCGGTGTCGGCCGGTGTAGGCGTGCGCGGTCAGTGGACAGCGGGCGGTGGATGTGGGGACATTTGATGATTTTTTTTCGAGATGGGACATGAGATGTGGTGGAAGATTGCTGGAAATTCGTACCTCCCCATGCTCATGCATGAACTCATGAAGCTCATGCATGAACTACTGACACTGCTCTGGTTTCGTCACCTTTAGTAGGCCTCTGGGCCTTACTCACTCTGTGCGCCGCCTGTTAGTCTCATTGCTGGTTATTGACTCGTCATCTCCGGCGGACGCGGTCCTTGAGCGATCCTTGACCCTCCCTCTGAGCTACTCGAACCCAGCTCGCCAGCAAACGCTGTCGTCTATCAGTCGTCGAGACTGGTACTCGCCTGCCCGAGCGAGTCCAGGTGGCCGGTCGGCGCCAGCAGAGCCCACTGCAAACTTCGCTGCAATTTCGCTGACACTCACTACCCAATAACGGTCGTGGGTAACCCAATATCGCCTATCTTACGCAAACGCGCCGAGCGACGCCGGTAACTTTGTATCATCGGCCGGCGTGCTGCGGACGGCTGCCGTCGGGTGGGGAGCTTTGTGTCCTGGCGTGTGGAGCAGGCGGTTATGGACGACCGGCCTAGGAGAGCCTTCGTTGCGAAATGCCGTCGCACCGTGTGCCCCGTAGCCACGTCAAAACGTGCGGTGAATCGCTGCAGTGGTGTTGTTTATACGATCGTCGCCAGCTTATCTCTGGGCCGTTTGGCATAGTCGGACGCTCGAGGTGCTGGTGGGTAGGGTGGTCCATTTTGCAAAAGTTTCTAGGATCTTTCGGGCCGGGTCGGAATTCTTGTCGATACCATGATACAAGGTTGTGTGCAAAATTTTATTGCGATCGGATAAATTTATCCCGTCCCGCAAAGCGACCAAAGTTTTCCCTATGTTATCAATAACGGGATGAGCGATAATACGAATTTTCGCACTCAGTCCACATTTTTCGCTCAATAAGCACTGGCAGTCATTAAAAAGAACAGCAAAGGAGAGAAACACATCAGAGTGGAATGGGCATCCGTGAAAATAGCATATCTGGTATAGATAAAAGAACTAAATCCACCGTGCATGCCATCATGTACTATTGGTCTCAATATAAGGGCCCAGGCGACCTGTAGTTTTAATGCGGTGAATACCCTTACCCTCCCCACAGGTCGGCCGAGTGCATCCCTCCTCCCACCCAGCGCAACCCCCACTCGAATTGTGGCGAGGGTGAGGGTATTCACCGCATCCGAACTACAGGTCGCCTGGGCCCCTATCTTGAGACCAATAGCACCAATAATATCCCTCTCGGATGCAACGCCCGGTGCAGTGGTGCTCCTCGACCTGAAGGAAGTGCTTTCACTATTCCTTGCCGTGCGCGATGGCGCTAAAAATTTCCCACTGGTGAGGGCAACAGTGCAATACCCAGCTCTCGCAAAGTCGTTCACCACCCGTATATGTGCCGGTCGCCGATGAGCAGTGGTCAAGTCGTCATTGTCTGACCACTCGGCGGAGTCGACTTTGAGGAAATCGTGGCTGGCCCCGAGGGACGTACCGACCGACAGATGCAAACGACGCCAGCGAGCGCTGCCCCACTGCGTCGAGGGCGACTTTGGCGCGGCAGGGTTCTTCTCTCTCAGCCGCTGCTGCATGGAGGTGGCGATCGCCTCTTTTCCTCGACCGTCGTCCCGTCGTTGAAGAAGGAGAGACCGATGGCCTTGCCCATCACCTTGCCCGGTTACCGTCCGATATCTGTGTGGTAAGCGGTAGGAGCCTTGGCGGAGGGCGATGTCAGTTCACGATGCTGAGGTCGATCAGTGGGCAGACAGCCACGGTGCTAATTACCTTGTGACGATGAAGGCGGTGAACCGGACCATCGTCCTCTTCTCGTGCTCGGTGAGCGCAAGCTGAGGCTGACAGAAGAGTGTTCTTGAGAGTGTTCTTGACTTGAGAGATCTTACGTGTTGATCAACTTTGCCATCCAACGAGCACGTTGTAGGGCAACCGGTTTCAGGATGCTCGCTTCCAAGTCACCGTCCATCACGGCGGTGGTGAAGTACACCACATTGCGGTAGTAATCATGGGGCCGCTGCTTCATCAGCAACGCGCGTCAGGTGACGATCATCTTGTCGGCGAAGTCAATGAAGTCATTGAGCGGTTTGAACGACACTCGGTCCGTGAGCTGCCACCACTTTACAAACCGCTTGAAGGACGGGATCTCGGGAGTCCCGGGCCGGAAGGCGGATGGTGTGAAAAGTGAAAAGATGCGTCATGCATTTCGTAAGAGGCTGTTTCACCCAGCAAGGATTTGCTTCTGGCTGCCAAAACAAGCCACATTTCGGTGATTGAGCGTGTGCCTTTTGCAGCTTCAGCGGCCATCCCAGACGCAGGCAAATTCCTAACTAGCGTAATGCATTCACACCTCCTGGCATACAGGCCCTTGCTCCTGGCACTGAGAACAGGAACTGCAACAGGAACTGTGGATTATCGTTCCTGCCTGTGGCTGATAGGAAGACTAGATCTATCATTGAGAAGGCTAGAGAGGGTTGGTGTGTTGAGCATGCAAGCTCTTTGGTAGATAGCCGCTGGCGCGACTGGGCAATGTTGAAAGACAAGTATTCGCCCTATACTGAAGGCTGGTACATATAATGGAAACTTTGACCGCTTTGCGGGACGGGATAAAATCATCCAATCTTTGAAATTTTGCACAGAAGCTTGTGCTATAGTATCGACAAGAATTCCGACCCGGCCCGAAGAATCTGACGAACTTTATTTTTTACCATGTAAATGTGGACCACCCTACTGGTGGGGGAATGGAGAAGCCGGGGCATGCTCTTTGTGCCTTGGGGCTAGCTGCCTAAAAGCTGCCTACATTGAGAAACAAAGCTACCTATTGCAAAGCTGTGAAGATGCCGAATGGAGCATCCACACAGTCGTTAGTCGTTTCCATGTGTTGCGTGATGGGTGGCTGGCCCACGGATGGTGTTGATATAGGATGCATTCGTCGGAGTAAACACCGTCGTCAAGAAGCTCCTCTTGATGCCTTGATGCTCCTCTAGTTGCTCTATTCTGCCATGACCTCTTGCAGCCTACGTTTTATTAGGCTGGCAGCCCGTTCCGTTACTGACTCATGGTTTGTGTTACAGAGTCGGAGAACTGCCCGTGCTGTGCCTTTTATTCCCGAACGACCCACCCGAACAACGAACTGCATCTGAGCTCCACAACAAAGGTGAGTCCCGATGGGTTTTTGGTCCGAGTAATGTCCAACAATCGGAGGATGGCATCGCTCTTGATTTTTCGATCATTGGGCTGACGAAACATTTATTGTTATGCTGGACGGTTTTGGATTCACGATGCCCTGTATTTCACCACCGGCACAAGGCGTCAGTGACTCCGCCGCCCTCGCGTCCAGCCTCGATAGGTCATCTGCTGGACGCCGATGTTGGGCGCCGATGACCACTGTAGTCCGGGCGCCCAAAAACCCCAATTCATCATCAGGTCATCTGCCCGCGCTCGGCGTGTACCCTCGCTGACGATCAAACCCCGTCAAATGAACGTCTGTCGGAAACTGCTCGTCTCGGGCGTCAGGGCTCGACTTTGCGCCCGACGCCGCCGCCCGGCTCGACGGCCAAGGAAAACACGCGGCTCTTACAACATCGCGGCTTGTCCAGCGGGCCCTCGGCCGCCGGCACCCAGTACGTGAGCGGCCGAGTCAACACGGGATTAAAGCCGACCCGGTCAAACAGTGCGCCGAGGAGCCAAGGAAGCTTTTACGTTAGGCGGGAGGCGTGTACCGCCATGAACGCGACGTTCCGTTAGACCACCGGGTGAGGCTGGTGCTGATACACACGGCTTGGTAAACAGACCCTGCTCTAAACCTAGTACCGAGCCTGGAGAGCCTTCAGCTGCCCTGTCTCAGACGGGAGGATGACTAGAGGAGCTGCTTCAGACCACAGAACGGACGGAGCTGCCTCCGGCTGTGACGTCACATCTCCGGGTCGCCCTTCCGGCGCTGCGCCGGAACTGTCGACGATGACGTCAGAGTGGTGTCGTCACCGGATCCGACCACCGGTGTTGTGTGTGCGGGTGATGGTGCGGGTTTCACCGTGCGGTGTGGGCCGCTGGGGTTTGTGGTCTGAACGGATACATACGTGTGTGTTTGTGATATAGGTCTGGGAAGCCTGGTCTGTGGCCAGCGCGCCGGCTGCTGTCAGCAGTTTGGATGGGGGAACTGCTGCTGACAGGGCGCTGAAAACTGCCAAGTGACGTCTCCGAGAACTGGCGTCACGGATGACTCAGCTTGCCGCGTGACTCGCAGCGATGAGTGACTCGCAGCGGGGTTGAACTGGGAAAAGGTGACTCAGTGTGTCCGGGGGATGGGTCGGATGCTGATTCGCTCACAGAGACGGTAACTGTGACTCGTCGTGATCACTTGTGAAACGTTGATGCTGTTGCGAAGGGGCACTGGCTCGCAACCATCAAGCCGTGGACCACATTACAGATGAACGTCAGTTTAGGCCCTAACTGGTGCACTACTCTGTTTGACCGCCTACTTGCCGCTGTCATCGCCACCGACCACTGTCGCCGCCTGCGAGGGCCTTGCCAAAGTTTCGGATCCCTTGCAACGGTTCGCCGTCCTATCATACTCCATTCACTATCGCAGCCTGTCGGGGAATGAGGAAGAAGTTGCTGCTGAAATGTTTACAGTTCGAGTAAGGCGTCTCGTCGAAATCGGACGGTTCTCCCATCTCCTCAGGCCGTGACCGCGGTGGGTTTACCGGATATCGTCCAGCGGGTTCGCTCGGTATCTTCTCGGACGTCTGTGGAGCCGACCGTGCCGGCGGCGAGGCGTGCACTGGCGCCACCCAGTGGCGGAGAAACTGGTGCAACCTGCTCAGTCCACTGAGCCTAAACCTACTAACGCCGTAAGGTTATTTGGTAGACTACGACAGGCGATTAAAAAAAAAAAAACAGACTGGATGACTCGTCTGTTGAACCTGTCAATGGCATAAAAGTACAGACCAGTGCTTTGTTGGATAGAAGTGTCCCTAGAACTGCTGTTGGTGTAGGTAGGTTGAAAGGAATTATTTTCTTCCGTGCTTAAATACCTAAAGTTCATTATTCATTTTTAATGATTGAGGCGCAGCCGTTCATATTCTGCTTATTAGTAGGAGCCATATTTATCGGGCAGTTAGACATCACATCGTCCTTCGTCAGTCCGCAAAAAAAAACCTTTCGCCTTGTCCGGTAGCTGTATTCGTGTTTGCCTCTTATGCTCAACGAATGCCCATTGCCCATTGGCATTATGCCGACTACGGGGTGAGCGTATAGGTTAGCGCTCTTCCGTAAGGCGTGGTCGGGTGTCACACGCCCGGTGCGGTGCTCCACTGATCCCTCTGCCCCGATAGGGACTCGACGCGTGTGTACGCGGGGCGTCGGCCAGTGTGTACTCAGTACTCACGTGGTCGGTCCGTACCGGCGTGCCGCCCGTTATCAGAGACCCTGTCGACTGCTGCCAGGTGGCGGCTGGTCAGGAGTAGCGACCGTACCGTGGTCAGAACGAGACATAGCGAGACAGATGGACAACGGAGGGAAGGTCACAGGACAGACCGGAGCTGGGGAGATCGCGCACCTGAGCCGGCTTTTATTGGGTGTGCTCCACTGGCACTTAACGCTCTCTGTACATATCGGGATCTATCTATACATATCTATCTCTGTATATCGGGAGTGCCGCCGCGATATCGGAAAAGCGTACGCCCTCTCCATACCGGGCGAGGGGCGTCAACTTTCGTCTGTCGGGTCTGATGGTTTCCTTTAGTGTTGTAAATATGCTAAACAGGTGATTGATGCTGATCGAGCCTTAATGAGATTCAGCGTCGAGTTTCCACTACACCTACGATCGGCGCAGGAATAGGGCTGCTTCACACAGCTCCATGCGGCGTGGTGTGATCTGGACCCGTTGTGTGCTGTGGTCAAGGCTGAGAACCGCGGTCACACCTGCGGTTAGCGCCGTGGGACCGAGGCGGTCGGCGCTGAGGTGCTTCGGGCTGGCCTTTGCAGGAGCGTCACGTGGTCTGCTGGGCTCATGTGTATGGAGAGCGTGGCCCCGACGCGGCTCGGCTCGGCTCGGGCTGTACGATTCTGAATGATCACACACATCACGTGTTCAGCCGATTTGTGATCGTAAATCATGTTTGACACAGCACTCGGTGCAGGTGAAGCACGTTGAACAGCTTTCTCCGCCTTATCAGCTCGCGATCAAGCTAGTTCGAATTGACAGTCAACTGCCACGAATCACAGGTCCCAGTCAAGTGACTGCGTTTGAAGATCAGCCGCTCTTTGGCTCCAGGTCAGGTCAACTTTTGGCATGCCAGTTCTGTCTGTCTTCAGAGCGGAAGCTGAACTCGTCCCAAACAAAACCGCCGCTGACAGGGTGACAACGGACAGTCAACTGTCCGTAACTGTGGTGACCTGCACCGTAACGACTGCCTCACTGCATCACTGCACTGCTTTTGGTATCGTTATGCCAAAAAGTCTGTTTTCGATTGACATCCAGTCACGACTGCCTCACTGCAGAGGTGGCAATCTGGAGTGGGATACAGTCCCACTGCATCACTGGACAGAGAATGATCGCCGGGTGGGAGCCACTGCCTCACTGGACTGAGGACAGGCGCCAGGCCAGAGACACTGTCTCAGTGGACAGCGAACAGTGAACAGGTGCAGGGCCGCCGCTGTCTCGGGGCGGAGTCGGACCGGCTCGGGCGGGGGCGGCGGACATGGCGCACCAGCCGCCCCCGCCCCCGCCCCCGCCGCTGCCGCCACACCTGCTGCTGTTGCCGACCGAATGCGACCGACCTGAGTGATCTGAGGGGCACAAACCTCAGAGTCCGTGGAGTGGGTCGGAGACCGGTTACACTGAGCTGCCGGTATAAAGTTAGTCTTTTTCCGGTTTGTGGCTACCGGTGATGAGATTGTGGTTAATCCGTGAGCTGACAGGTCTACCCGACGAATGGCGTCAGCGCCTGCCTGACCGCCAACAATCGGCTGATGACGGCGTTCGTCATTAGCTGATGACGACAGTCGTTCTCCGACCGACGGCCGGCTGTCTCCGCACCCGTCTCTCTCCGCGGAGGGGAGAAGCCGCGCTGTCCGCTCCTCCTCCGGCTCGCCGCCGCTGTGTGCTCTACGGATAATGCACGCCGCCCCGCGATGATATATGGCCCGAACCTCTCGGCGAGATTGGCAGCCTCGTCGGCTCCTCTCCCCCTCCCCTCCCCGGACTCTCTCTCCGCCCCCCGCACACCGTTTGAGATGATTTGCCAGTTTATTGCCGCGCATAAAACAACGATGACGCGTCCGCGCCGACGGCCTGAGTCATAATCGCGCCTGTTTCCAGAGCGGCCTCGCTCGTCGACAACGACGACTGCTCGTCTTCAACGGCGGTCGACGACCGGCCGGCGGCGCCGCGGGCTCAGTCGACTGAGTGCGTTTTGGTCGTCTGATTATCGCTGCCTATCTTCCAGTCGTAGAAGTATTGCTTCTTTTTTATGATCATCGGCCGTTTCTTTTTGCTGCATTGTTGATCATCTGCAACATTCGGAAAAGAAATTGCTAGGCCTCGGCAGTAGGCATTCGAAATACTTTGTTCTTAGTCAGTGGTTGAAACCAGCGATTTGAATGTTTCTTTCAGTCTTCCCACCATCTCCGGTGGCCGTGCCGCCGTGGAGCATCTCGGCGTGAGACGAGAACCCCTGTCGTGCAAGCATCCACTGTTTGGTGCATTTTGCAGGCGATCAGTCGGATTTTCAGGATTGCGATTCAAACTAGTCCGCTAACATCTGCAGAGATCGTTATTTGGAGTTGGGTGTGTCGTGGCCGAACTCTGCAGCCGATCCGTGGCCGATTCTGGGGATTGGTCTGTCGTCAGTTTCTCTCCTAGCACGACGAGCCTCGGGCCGCTCGGGCGTCGCTCGCTGCAGCCGGAGTGTTTGGAGGGCGGGGACGCCGACCGGCGCCAGTTGCGGGATCTGCCGCGGGGCGGCGCTGGTGAGCCGGCCGTGTTTGGAGGGGCAAGGTCGCGGCGGCGGCGGTGCTGGCAGCACCTCGGCCGGTACGTGGGAGGGGCGCGCGGCGCGGGCGGGTCGGCCAGGCGGCTGCTCTGTCTGACCAGCTGTGCACAGGGTCGGCTGCAGCTCGGCAGCTGTGCCGACGGCTGTCTGCCGGCCGCCG